GGGGCGGGGGCGGGCAGGGACGGCCTAGCCCGGAAGCGGGGCCGCGGCGACAGACAACGACGGCAGAGCCCGACCCCCAGTTTCAAAACTGCTAGGGCTCGGACGATAACCACCTTCCGTTTGAGACGCTGCCTCGTCCTCTCGGGACGGAAGTTACGCATTCCCCGCAGTGGCGTCGCTGTTGGCTGCGTGATACGTCCTTTAGAACAGTTCCTTATCCTCATTGGCTATTGTACCAGTAGCTTTTGAAACCTCCTCCCTATTGGTGCAAACATTTGTCACTCCAATTACTTGCACCGCCCAATTCCAAGGGGCAGGCGCTTTCTCAGCTCCAAAGGTCATTGGCTGACAAAGATATCAGTCAGAGAGATAACGGCGCAGTGCGGCTGAATGGGGGCGTGGATGGCATACAGGCGAGAGTACCGACCAGTAGGCCTCCAAGTTCTAGGCCAAATCCCTTGAGAATGAAACCTCTTGTATAACCTCCTTTGACTTCCACTCTGCAGCTGGTATTCCGAGCAGCTTCTACACGCTGTCGAGTAAAAATTAAAATTCTGCCTTATGCGGGGGCCTGTTGCATTTCGCGGCACTAAGCCCCTTGGCCTGGCAGTCTGGCCCACCATCCAAACGGGAACCACCTCTCCTCCTCACTCATACCAACGCTCCCTTTAAGCCGGGAGAGTTGTTCTCCTAGTACCCCAAGGACAGGCCGAGGACAAACCTTTTGCATACCAACCTGCTCATCTAATCAGGACCAGGCCAGCTTCAGTCAGGCCTTCCCGTGCTTTCCTGTCCATTCTAGAAATGCTGGGAATTCTAGGGTTGGTCTTCAGTAGGCAGCGACCCTACCAGCTTGGCTCTAAGTTTTGTTTTGTTTTGTTTTTCTTTCGGTTTCCATTCCATCTTTTCCCTGCATGGGATCCCAAGGCAAATGCTAATCAAGCCCTAAATTTATCTGTGTTGTGCGTTTGAATGGAGAAGTTCTGAATCTTTATAATTTAAATAACTTCCAATTCTTTGCTTTAAACAGAATTAAAGGATTGTATTGACGTTAGATGATATCATTAAATACAGTTTTAATGATAAATGTGATTGTTAGACAATTCAGACAGAATTCAAAGAATTGAGTGACACTGCTATGCATAACAAACTCCTTACAGTCCCATCTACTTACTTACGTGAACAACTTTACTGTTTAAATTTTTTAAAAAGGAAAGAAAAGTACATACAAAAATGTTGGGGCCGGCGAGTGGCGCGTTGGTTAAGAGTTGGCTTGGGATGCCAGCTCTGAGCAGCAGAGCCTGGGTTCGGATCCCACATAAGGGCTAGTGACACTGCGCCCTCTACAGCTAAGATGGTGAACAACAGCTCGACCTGGAGCTGGGCTGCCTTGAGTTGCTGGCGACTGCATAGGCTGCAGTGAAGCTGCAGTGGGCTGCCATAAGCTACCATGAGTGGCTGGCAGCCAGCTTGAGTGACCAGCAGCCAGCATGAGCTGCCAAGAGCCACTGTGAGCGACCGTCCAGTGGCCGGCAACGGATCTGCCTCACCTGGGAAGAGCGCAATGATAATACCAACATGGGCCAGTGAAGCAATGTCCTCCACAACTAGACTGAAGAACAAAAGAACAGCAACTTGTCTGTTCCCCTCCCCCAATTCCCCAATAAAATCTTAAAAAAAAAATGTTGCTGAACCTTGTCTTATTCTAATAAAAAATTATATTCATCCACACACATGAACTGAGGAACATACCTTCTTTTAAAAGATGCATTTCCAATAAAATTTTAGTTTTTATAAAAATTTGATATATTTATATTGTTTTGAAAAACTCTGTACTAATAAGTTGTAACCCTTAAAGCCTTAGTAAGATTACAAAAAATTGAATTTTTCATTTTATATATTTTCAATTTATAGATTTGTGTCTCAGAGATATGATAAGGTTATTAATAATAAACTTTAAAGCATGAAAATAAATTAGGTGTAGCATAAACTGGAAGGAATAGAATGGAATTTTGAAAAGAAAAGGAATGATGTTAAAGAAGAGTTTGTTGTAGTGTTTTTAAAATGAATGATGTTGGCTCTCAAATCACTATACTATTTGGATTGAAATGGATCAATATAAATGAAACAGTTTATAAAGTATCAATATTTACAACACACTGGAAATTACATCCTTTACAACTATTTAAACTTATTAATGAAACATTTCAGATGTCAACTTAAAAATGTGTGAGGGGCAAACACATTTTCAAAATTCTTTTAGGGAATATTGGAGCAAAAAGAACTGAATACCAGTGACTGGGTACTTTTTGCAACAGCCCATTTCAGTGGAGTAGTTAACTGCATGTATTCTCGTGCCAAACCATTTGGGTTGAAATTACGTCCTCCTTTTCCTATGTTGTTGGGCAAAATTCTTTCTTTTTTTTTTTAATCGAAGTATAAGTTATACATAGAAGTGTACATATTTTCACAACCTGAAACACACTCATGTAACCAGCATCTAGATCAGGAAACTTAACAGTACCAGCCCCCTGGAAGTCCCCTTCATGCTTGTGTAAGTTTCTTAGTCTCTCTCTGCTTCTGTCCCCACTTCTCTAAAATGGGGAGAATAACATTGACCCCATAGGGTTGTTGTGAGGATTAGATGAACTAATATCTGCAGAGCAGTTAGCACAGTGTCTGGCACAGGCAGTTATGAAAGTGTTGGCTATTGTCATGATTCCCAATGACAACCAAGCCAGTATCTCTCTGCTTCCCTTCACCCCAGCCTGGCTAAAAGCCCCATGATCCAGGGGCTCCTGGGTCTAGCAGAGCTACCTTCAGGTCCCTAACACACAGCTTCCGTGAGAAGGGCTTGGAGAAGACAACAAGGTGTTGGGGTCATGGCACAGTCAAGGACATGATCACCCTCAGGTAAGTTACACAACCAGCCCAACGTGAAATATGCAGACTTTATTAGCTGTGATACACTCCATTGTCTGCTAGAGTCCCAAATGTCATCACAGAACCATCAGAGGCAAAGCAGCTGAAGGCTGGAGCTATGTTCCCTGATATGTCCACTACAGAGGACACTTTCATTTCCAGCCAGGTCACAGGCTCTCAGCAGGAGGTCTGACCAACCTTAGGTGCTGAGTTGAGAGGCAGTCGGTAGTTCTGATCCAGGACATGATTGCACCCAGCCCAGAACAAAGCTGTCACACAGAAGATCAGAAACTTCTCTTTTCCTCACTGAATCCTCTGTCCTATATGCTACCTCCATGCCCAAGGCTCACCCACCCTCCACCAGGCCTGCTATCTAAACAAAGCCCTGGAGGAGTCTGGGAGAATCCTAAGCCTCCTCACCTTACCATCTTGGGTCACCTGGGTTAGAAGTTTGTAGCTACTCTAGGAGAATGGTTTTCAAAGGTCCATTTTGGCAGCTGTCTGCCTCCACCAAATCCATAACTCTTACCTCACCCACCTTTAATCCCCTCATGCTGTATTTTATCTTGGGGTTTGGTGGCTCTAACTCCCCACAAATCCAGGATCTGAGCCATGTCTCTGGAACTCCAGCTGCTTGGGGACAGAGCCAAGGTGTTCAGGGAGGGAGGGGAAGCGGGGACCACAGATGAGTCCCTGTACCTCCAGGGGGTGCAGAGGTGAGGCCAGGGGTGACAGGAGCCCCTCAGGTTGCTCCAGTTCTGAGGAGAGTGTCCGAGTGTTGTCTGTTGCCGTGACCAGGTGAGGCATCCTGGGGGACGAGTTCCTGCGCTTCGGCCCATGTTTATCCAAGTCACCATAGCTTGCAGTCTGAGAGGGGCAAGAAAGAGTGAGGGATGCAGTGTGGGGAGCCCCCACCCCAGGCCACCCTGACTTCAAGGCTGGAAACTGGTAGGAACTGTGTCTTGTTACCGTTGCGCCAGCTGTGGGGTCTCAGTCATAATCTGGGCTTTGCCACTAATTGTCCAGGCTGCCCTGTCATGACTTGGACCATAAAGGAGGACAGCAGAAGCCATGGCTGCTCTCACTGACCCCTGACGCCACACTGAGACCAAGTTGGGGGTGGGGGAAGGCATGCAGCTGCCGCCAGGTAAGCCCGTGGGAATCCCCTCACCTGCTCACCTGTGCAGGGGGCAGAATGCCCTGGGGCAGCCTAGTTCCTGGACTCTGAGTCTCTGAGGCCGCAGGAAACAATGCCAGATCATTGAAGGCAGGGGCTCCCAGAATGTAGCCAGTGTGGCCCTGGGTCAGGGGCTGCTGAAGGAGCTGCAGGATGTGGCTGAGTTCTGAGGACATGCGGGACTCCAGCCTACCCGACAGAACCCCACAATCAGGGTCAGGGTCAGGGTCAGGGTTGGCAAGAGCAGTTTAGGTCTGGAAGACAGCTCTCAATTGTGTAGCCTACATGCTGTTCCTGCTGGATGGAATGGAAACCTGGGGCGTACCTGAAGCTATTTCCCTGCTACAATTCACAGCCTCTCCCCAGATTCCACTTAGCACATCCCTGACGTTGTTAATAAAGATGACCATGCACCATGCACATATCATTTGGTCCTCATAAAGAAGCTTTGACCTGGGTATTCTGATTATCCCCGTTTCACTAAAGGACAAACAGAGGCTCAGAGCAGTTAAGTAATTTACCCACACTCTTGCTTGTAAGTTGCAGAGCCAGAATTTGAACTCAGGACTCTGCTTCCCCTAACCTCTCATTCTGCCACCACAGCACTGCCACCCACAGGCCACACCCCGTTTCCAAAGGCCCATGGAATTTGTTTCTGCATGAGGTTATACCTCTGCCCAAGAAAGTTTCCTTGGCATGTTCTGGGGTTTGCTGGGACAAGCCATCCAAGGAATTGTGCTTAGTGACATAGGGGTGGGGAGGCCTGCTATTAAATGCTGTCGGCTGTTCTGAAACTCAGGACATCCAGTGATGTTCCCAAGTCACCAGGAGGGGGCACCGGTGCCTAGCCTGCCGTTGGGCCTGCTCTATGCAGCCACCAAACTCTGTCCTGCAGGGCACGCACCTGTTTATCTGGGCCTGGAGCTGCTCTAGCCTGGAGCCCAGCTCCTGAAGCCAGCAGTCTGGGTCTCCCTGAGGGTCTGGGGGGCTGTGCTTTGGTCTTGGGGGCACTTGCTGCAGCAACTCAGGCCAGAGTCCAGATGCCTCTGAGAGGCTCAGGGAAGGGGCTGCACCTGCAAGAACGAAAGGAATGCCTGAGCTTGTTTTAGCTGGTTCCACAGCCCTGAGCCCATGCCCCTCCTGCTTTGGAAACACAGAGTGGGAGAAGTGGATCTCCTTACCTGGGTGCCCTGGAGTGTGAGGTCCTGCCCTCATAGAGATCTGCTTCCAGGACCCAGAAAGCTGAAGCCCTGGGAGGGGGACTTTGGGGGGCAGCTTTGGGGGGCAGGGACTGGCTGGGTGGGGACATCCAGCCCTGGCCTTACATCCAGCCCTGGCCTTACGTCCAGGGAGCTGCAGCCCAGTGGGACACCTGGTGCCTTGATGTAGAACCCCGGGGGCTTAGCCAGTATCTCCACCTTGTGGCCACATTGGTCACTCGGCTAGCCCTCACTCTGGGTCTGACACAGCGGGAGGAAGGGGACAAGGGCCTCTAGCACCGAGCCTAGGGAAGGAGCCCTTTTCCACTCATCCAGAGGCTGAGGAGGCCTCTTCCAGGGGAAGCAGGATGGAGGACTGAGAAGGGGCTTTAGGCTGGGGCAGGACAGGCACTGGTAGGGGCTGGCTTTGCTCACCTGACTGGTTGTCACTGAAGATGAAGCCCTGGTGGTCCTGGCTGCCTGTAGTCTGTCGGGGTGATGACTGGAGACCCCCATCTGCCTTGTGAGGAACAAAGGCATCAAGTAACAGGGACCAAAGCTGGAACAGGGTCTCTTTGTTCACCCTTGCCCCCACCCCACCCCCACGGCCCTTGTGACAACCAGGTAAGAAAGTGGTGACAAGTGGTTGGGCTAATGCTCTGGGCAGCTTCCTGCAGGCTCTTTCCTGCTTGGGAGTGCAGCAGACGTACAGGAGCTTGGGGACGTGCAGACCTCCACAGAGTATTGGGACAGGCTGCCTTGAGCATCAAGATTTGGGTCAGGGGGAAGGCAGAGGAGCTGTTCTAGTCCTTCCTCTCCTGAATGCCCTGCTCCTGCCCTCAGCATGGGCCAATGGGGAGACCCCTCTGAGGAGACTGGGTCTGGAAACTCCAATCAACTCAGGAGGTGCTTTCAGCAGCGCCCTTGGCAGCCCACCCTCCTGGTACCATGAGATTGAGGCACCCAAGGGTTGCAGATGCCCCAGGCCATGGAAGCTGCATCCCTCTTGCCCTGGTGCCCAGCTAGTGAGAACCCAGGCCACCTGCTGACTCCTAGCGGCTGGGCCCCCCAGGGCAGGGTCCTTATAAGATGTCTCCTGGACAGATCAGGTGGAAAGGGGAAAGACAAGGGGAGGGGGAGAACAGCAGAGGGTACAGGGTGGGGAGGGCTGTCCCTAGTAAGAAAACCTTTCTCAGCACCGCACCTTCCACTCTGGGTGTAGAGCCTAGGCCTGCAGAGCCCCTCATCCTAAGGCTGGGAGGTATGTTGGAGGCAGGGGACTCAGAGCCAGGGCCTCAGTCACTGGCGCCCCTGCCAGGTGTGCCTGTCCTTTTCTTTCACTAGCTGATTCCAGACCCCCTCCTCCAAGCAGCCCCTCCGGGCTTCCAGTCTGTACTGGCCATCCCACGCCTTGGCAACCCTGAGCTCCACAGAAATTTGGCCCTGCACAACCCTGTAGCTTCCTGGTTATTTAATTGTGTGGCTCTTTATTTTTCTTGAGTTGTTTAACCTCCTCCATTGAGTGATAAGCTTAAGAGGAGAGATAGCTCTATCACTTATCTACACTCTAGGGACCTGGCACTGTGTACCTCTGGATGGCAGACATCCTCCTTTTCAGCTTGGTTTAAAGTAGGAAAAGCCTGGGCTGTGGAGTCGCAAACTTGCCTCCATAGTTTGGCTCTGCCGTTGACTGTATGGTTTACTATGGGGCTGTGTGGCTTTGGTCAATTTATTTAATCCTCTCTGACTCCCAGTTTCCTCATCTGGGAAATGCGGATTACAACAGCATTTGCAAGGAGAGAACTAAATGAGATAATGTTAAAGAAGCCCAGTGCTTAGCACATAGTTGGTGCTCAATAATTGGTAATTAGCATCACACTTAGCATTATGCTGGCCATGGCAGAAACAAACGAAATTATGGTGAAAGACGCAGCATGGGGTTGAAAGGAAGGGAGGTGGTTTGGATAGGTCCCCCCCAGGCCAAGCAGCCCAAGCTCTCAGCAGGCTGCCTGGGCATTACCTGTTACCAGCCGGCCAAGGGCCACCATCCACCCTGGCCCACCAGCCCAGACTCACGTCCCGCAGGTTGAAGGTGACTTCCAGCTTGCTCCAGAAGCTGTCTGCGAAGGTGGGGTACATGTCCAGCACCTCCAGTAGGTCTGCCCGTTGGATCTTGTGCAGGTCGCAGTAAGTCAGAGCCCGCACATCTGCACTGGATTTGCCTGGCTGGGCATGGAGGCTAACAGGCTCCCCAAAGATGTCGTTCTTTCCTGCCAGCCAGAGTGGTAGGGGTCTCTCCAGGGTCTGGCTCCACGCTGTCTTCTGAGGAGCCTCCCTGAGGGCCTCTTGTCCATGATCTCTCTCCCACCTCAGGGATCCTGCCAGGCTTAGGCCTGGTTCTCAGGATCAGGCTTTGGGGACACGGCTGGAGGTGGGGGAGAGGAGTGTGCCCTTACCTTGTCCTTTGAGCTCTGCAGTGCCCCGCCCCCCCATTTCAGTAGATGGGCCCTCCCTCTGTCTCCAAGCCCCTCAGGACCACCCTCTATCAGATTTCCTACTCCTATTTCCATGTGCTTCGGGGCTGCCCCTACCCCCACCCTGGGGGACAGTGGGCAGTAAGGAACACTAAAGACTCTCTGCTCAAACTCTTCCCTTCTCCTTAGCCCACCACAGTGATGTAAGAGTGCAGGGAACCAGGAACACCCAGCTCCCCAGGGCAGGGCCTGAGACTTCTGTCTCTTTGTGTCCTCACTGTCCATTGTGGGACAAAGTAACCAGCATAGCCCTGACAGAGGAAGCCTGGGGAAATCACTTCCCCTCTCCGGACCCCAGTGTCCTCATCTCTAAATTGGGTATAACCATATCTGCCTTGCCCACCCCACTGGGTTATCCAGAGGGGCAGACATGATGCTTGAGAAAGTGCCTTGAACAGCAAGAGGCAGGTAGATGCAAGGCATGGGTAGCAACAGATGTCATAGGGCAGACATGGGCTGATACTTGGGGCATGTGACGAGAATATTGGGCCCTCCTGGTGCCAGGCATTGTGCTGCCCATAAGGGTGTAAACATGAATATGATGCTCTCCCACAAGGAGCCCCTAACATGTCTGCAAGACAGGCACAAAGGCAAGCAACTAGTTTCCAGAATGATCTATAGAGGCTTCGAAAAGGGGAGAGACAAGAGCTATACAGGGCCATGGAGGAGGGAGGGGCTCATTCTACCAGGAGTGGTTGAGGGTAGGGAGGAGGCGGGGCTTACAGAGGAAGTGAAATTGGGGCTGGGTTTTGAGAATTGAGGAGGACTGGACCCCCCAGGAGAAAGGCAATCTGGGCAGAAAAATTAGTGTGTGGTCAGTGCTGCAATCAGGGCTGGGAGGCAGAGAGCCCAGGGCCGGGGTGCCAGGGACCATGGCTGCTTTGATCTCCACTCCCCACAAGAAAGTCCAGCCCCCTAAGCCTGGTGATACTGAACAAAGGTCGTTAATGGTTTGCACAGACAATGATGGATGGAGGCCAGGACATGACCCTCAAGAGAACAGGCTCAAAGGTCATTCACAGAGGAGGGGACTGAGGCCGAAAGAGGGAAGTGACTTGCTAGGGTTACATATGAAACCCAGGAGCTTGAAATCTGGGCAACATTATAAAGTGATGGTTATCCGGTAGATGAAGGATTATGATCTAATGTCCATTTCCACTCAGGACAAAATGAGAGGATTTCATGTCTCTAACTGAAACTTAAATTGGACTGGCTTCTTAATTATTAATAATAATTATTATCCCTCCCATGTGGATGGCACTGCTAAAGTATGCTGGGAGTGAGGGAAGGTCTCATAGAGGGGCCTGTGCTTAAGCTCAGCTTGAAGGATGCCCAGGGTCTGCCAGGCAGGGGTGCAAGGCAGACGCTCCAAGCAGAGGGGCAGCACGTGCAAAAGCACAGACATGTGACAGAGACAGACAGGTTTAGAGAACCATAAGTAGTTTGTATGGCTGGAGCCTAAAGCACCAGGGGGAGGCTGGCAGGACTTAGGGTGGCTAGACTGGGGAGGACTAGTACACAGGGGTTCACACTTGTCCCGCAGGCCATGGGGAACCATGAAGGGATTTTGAGCAGAAGAGGAGTATGCACGGATGTGAATTTCAGGTCAATGGCAGAAGGTGGAAGATGGTATATGCGGGTAGGTCAGAGGCAGGGACACGGGAAAGAGGCTCCTGGCACCTGCCTAGGAACGACACGACGAAGGCTGGACCCAGGCAGGGACAAGGAGGCAGGTGTGGGGCAGAGAGGGAAACAGATCCGGCTCTAGGGCTGCCTGGATGGTGGGGGTGGGGCAGTGGACAGTTCACAGTGATGGGGATTGCCGAAGGAGCTGCTTTTGAGGGTCAATGATAATTTCAGGTTGAGATAATTTCAGGTTGTTTGATCTGTTTATGAAATATAAGGGTGGCCACGCCCAAGAAGGAATGGAATGTTTCGGTCTAAGGAGAGATCGGGACTGGGACAGAGTTCTGGGGGTGCTTGTAACACAGGTGGAGGCTGGGACCCTGGGAGCAAGGAGCTGGCCCAGGTGGGGGGTGTAGGGCGAGGAGAAGAGAGCAGAGCCCCACACTTGGTGAACATGAGCTAAGGGCAGGCCAGAGGGAAAGGAATGTGCAGAGGAGCCTGAGGGGCCCTACCCAGAGGGGTTGGAGGAGGGCACGGCCATGGAGACAAAGGGAGAGCTAGGCTGGCAAGGAAATGAGGCTCCGAGGGGTGAAGTGACCGACCCAGGGTCACACTCACACCACTGGTAAGCGGCGGAGGCTGCATGTGCCCTACATTTGTTCCCTACCCAAGGCTCATATCCTTCCTCCAGAATTCAGTTGTCCCTGTAGCTGTGCTGAGACACTGAAGACCCCCTCCACCCAAGACAAACCCTTGCCCTCTCACAGTGTGCTCCCAGGAGCGGAAGAAGGTAGGAGGAGCCTGCCCGGACTTGTCAGTCAGACACATTCCCGTGAAACCCCTGCTTGGGCACTTCCCAGCATGACCTTTTTGTGCCTCAACTTCCCCATCGGGAAAATGGACCTATGGTAGGTTTGTTTTAAGGATTCAGGGAACTGGGGATAAAGCTCTCTGTAGCATATGCTCAGCACATGCCTGTCATAAAAGGTGCCACCATCATCATTAGGAATGGAGTGGTCCAGGCAGGACATCTCCAGTCCCAAAATCCCCATCCTCCCCGCCCGACGCACCTAGGATGGCCACGACCACATCGTCGCGCAGGATCTCGATGGAGCCGCGGGAGATGAAGTAGAGCGTGGAAAGCACGTCGCCGAGGTGCACAAGCGTGTCCCCAGGCGGCGCGTGGGCCGTCTTGAACTTGACGGCGAGCGCGCGTAGGCAGCCCTTGCTGGCACCACGGAAGGCTGGGCAGTGCTGCAGCAGGGCGCGGTGCAGGTGCAAGCAGATGTCTGCCTGCAAGCACTCGGGGAAGCCCTTCAGCACCTGCGAGGAGAGGCGTGTGGGGGTGGGGTAGGGCTGGGGAGCGGGCGGGGAGGGCCCTGGGGACGCTCTGCACCCTCGGGACCCTGGCCTCCCGCGGGGCATTAGCCAGAGCTGGGACTTGAACTNGGGCTGGGGAGCGGGCGGGGAGGGCCCTGGGGACGCTCTGCACCCTCGGGACCCTGGCCTCCCGCGGGGCATTAGCCAGAGCTGGGACTTGAACTGGGTCGCCCACCCCAACCCGAGTGGGGCGGTGGCGTCTCACCGCGTTCATGTCGATGCCGTTGGTGTAGGACCAGGCGTGCTGGAAGTACTCTTCCAGGCGCTGCCGCAGCGGGTTGGGGATCTGATGGAAGCGGATGAACTCCCTGACACGCAGCATCTGCGTGTGGTAGCGCGCCGTGCCCGAGTACAGGCGCTGGATGATGGCGGACACATTGCCAAAGATGCTGGCGTACATGAGGGCTGGGGAGCGGGCGTGAGGACAGTGAGGTCCTCCACGTCCCCACCAGGCCACATCATCCCTGTGCCTGCCCCAGGACTCCCTCTTCCTGGAAGCCCTATGGTCAGGGACCTCTAGGTTCCGGGCAAAGTAAAAAATGCCCAGCTCAACGCCAGGGCAGCTGGGGGACAGAGGCCCCTCCCTGGGCTTCCTGCCTCGTCCCTCTGCCCCGTGCCTCTTGGCATCTTCCTGGGCCCAGAGGCCAAACTGCTACGAAAAAGCTAGGGCAATGGAATTTTTTAGTTCAGTTTTGTTTTCTCCTTTCAGTTGTAAAAACTATAATTAAGGGAAAACTCTTGGTCTCTTATTTTCGCCCATTTTTTTCTTCTTCTTGTTTTTGTTTTTCTGGGTTTTCACATCTCTAAATACTCTGAACATGACAACTTAACCTACGTGTAAAGTTCCACACTGCCTTTGGTGTTCCTAGACCAGCTGTCTTGGGAAGTAGGCAGCGCAGTGCAGGGCCTGAGAGCACACACAGCCCCAGGAGCGGCCCCCTGGGCTGGAATTGGGTCTCTGCGTAACCCCTGGAAAGTTAGGACCTTAGGCTTCTTGGTCTGTAAACTGGGTTCATAAAATGGCCCTCATGGGAATAGTGTTAGGAACGAAATGTGGACCTTTGATAAGCCCTTAGAAAGGTGCCTGGCAGGGCCGGCTTCACAGGCGTGGGGGTCTATGCTAAGAAGGGCCCACTCAAAGCTTGGTTTAATTTTCTACTGTCACCATCTTGAAATTCTTAATACTTTTTAAACAAAGGCTCTGCGTTTGCATTTTGCACTGGGCCCTGCAGATGATGTAGCCGGTACCTGGCACATAGCAAATGCTGTATAGGGATCAACTTCTGTGTGTAGTTGGTGTACACATGCAGTATTTCATGGCGCCGTATACTTAGGACCTGTATATCATTGTTACTGTGTTATGTCTCATTACAAAACTAAACATCGAATTCTATGGGTAAGGCCTGGGGTATGAGGTAGCACTCACAGCCAATGAGCATGACGCAGATGGAGAAGACTTTCTCTGAATTGGTGTTGGGAGAGACGTTGCCAAAGCCCACACTGGTGAGGCTGCTGAAGGTGAAGTAGAGGGCAGTGACATACTTGTCCTGCACCGAGGGGCCCGAGGCTGGGTCACTGACGTTGTAGCGCTTGCCGAGCTGCGCTCCCAGGCTGTCCAGCCAGCCGATCTTGGGCTCCAGGTAGGGCCGCTCCACATTGCCGATGGCATACCAGATGCAGGCCAGCCAGTGTGCGATGAGCGCAAAGGTGCACATGAGCAGGAATAGCACGGCTGCCCCATACTCAGAGTAGCGGTCCAGCTTCCGGGCCACACGTACCAGCCGCAGTAGCCGCGCTGTCTTCAGCAGCCCAATCAGGGTTGTGGTCTGGAGGGGCAGGGTGGGGGCCACGGGGCTGGGGGTTAGCCCTTGAAAGGCTGTGCTCAGGACCATGTTTGTTTACTTAGGCATACGGTCACACAGTCACTCAACAAACACTCATGGAGAGCTCTGGCCAGGCTCTTGGGAGTGGGGCACAGTAAGGAACCTTAAGAAGCTCTCAGCCTAAATCTCAAAACAGTGTTATGGTTATGAGGACAGAAATCTAGGAAGAGCACAGAAGAAGGGGAGGTCAAGTTTGTAGGGGAAGGGCAGGAAGGCTTCATAGAGGAGGTGACACATAAGCTGAGTCTTGAGACAAGGCTCAGCCTCCAGGTAGATAGGAGGGAGAAGGAAAGGGCATTCTAAGCTCAGGAAGCAGCATGAACAAGGGCCTGGAGGTGTGAAATGGCACAGATGGGAAACCAAGTATGGTGCTGCAGCCTGGAGCACAGAAAGGAAGATGGCGAAGTAGTGAGAAATGATCCTAGAAGGTGGGCAGGGGCTGCTCCTGTGGGCCTTGGGGTCCATATGGAGCTTGGCTTTTTTTCCAAACCACTGGGAAGCCACTGAAGGTTCTGAGGACAGGGTCAGATAAGTAACAGGGTCAGATAAGTGAACTGAAACTTGCTCTGGCTTCTGTGTGTAGAGGTGAGGCTGGCAGGTGTGGGGCTGGAGCAGGGATGGATAAGAAGGCCACTCAGTGTCCAGGCAGGGGCAATGGGGTAGAGAAGAAAATTAAGGGAGAGATGTGCAGGGAGTCATGCGGGAAAACTCCTGCTGGACAGGCTGGGGTGATTGGGGCAGTGACTGGAACACAGAGGCAGAGCTGATTAGAGTGGAAAGCTGATCCCAAAGAGATGGGGCAAAAGGAGAGAGGGGGATCGGAAGCTACAGGAAGGGCATGAAAATGCCCTCACATCAGCTAAGGGAAGTGGGGTGGGCACAGTGGAGGGGCTGGGGGCAAGAAGTGAGTCAGGCCGCATTGAGGGAGCAGCATGCAGACCCTTTATAATTCCAGGGTAAGTATAGTTTAGAAGTCAGCATGAGGGGCTGGGACTACCGCAGCGCCCGTCCCAGAAGGGGCCAAATTCTGGAGCCCAGGAAGAGCACCCAGGCCTGTGGCACAGCCTTGGCCGATCCTTCTCCAGGGATGGGATAGGACAGGTATCTGAGCCCCCCTTTCCACCTCCACTTGCTTTGGTAAAGGTGCCCAATGCCAGGTACTGTCTGCACCCAGGACTGTGAGGCCAGATTGGTACCAGGGCTAGGGCGCAGGGGACGGCAGCAGGAGCTGACCCATACGGGGCTTGCTCACCTCATCAGAGCCGGTGCGGAAGATGAGCAGGTCGAAGGGGATGGCAGCCACCATGTCAATGAGGAACCAGCCCTTGAAGTAGTGGACGGCAATGCGGCGGGGGTGGCTGACTACCTCGTCGTTGGTGTTGACGTAGGTGGTGCGGAAGTTGATGACAATGTCCACAACGAACATGATGTCCACGATGAGGTCCACCATGGTGAGTGGACTGCAGGTGTAGCTGCAGTCCCCGCGCTGAGACTCGTCCTGGTCGCTGAGCAGGAAGGCGGCTGAGTAGGGCGTGAAGATGGCCGTGTAGATGACCAGCAGCAGGATGAGCCAGTCCCACACGGCCTTGAAGGGGCTGTAGTGCAGGAGGGTCCCACGGTGGATGCGTGGCGCCTGCAGCTTGTACTCTGGCAGCACGTCCGCACCCAGAGACAGGACCTGGGGTAGGGCCATGGGATAGTCAGTGGGGCAGCCACCACTGGTAAGACGGGTCTGGGAGGGGTGAAGACATAGGGGTGCATTCTGGGAAGACGTAGGGGTGAGTACCTCTGGAGCCTGGACCAGTGAAGGCCCTCCCTGAGGCCAACTCTCAGAGCCTTCCATAGAAAGAGTCAAATTTGGGGTGTATAGCTAATCTGGGGCCTTGATAGGTCCTGGGTACCAGGGAGCCTTGAGCAAGGGGGTTTTGATCATTACGTTCAGCTGAGCCCCACTCCCATCCTGCCTCTGACACTACGGCCAACATAGGATCAGCAGGGCCAGCCCAACACACTCAGGTTCTGCCCAGCTGCCCAACACAAGAAACAGCTGGGGCATCTGGAAGAGCATGAGTTTTGAAGCCACACTTTCCAGGTTGATCCCGGATCTCACATTGTTATAAGTCTGTCTTAGGGCAAGTTTTATAACCTCTATAAGTCTCAGTTTCCTTATGGGCAGAATGGGATAACAAAGCGCAAAAAACTCCATGGGGTTGTTCTGATTCAATGAGATGGGGCATCCGGATGGCACTTGCTGCTCTGCACAGTAATTCCTCCTCCCGCTCATCCTCTGTCAGACACTGCCCCGACAGGGATGGGGCCTGAGGGGTGTCCCATTCACCCTACTGCCTCCACCGGATAGGGTCTGGCAGATGGTTCTGGTATTAGAAAATCTGCAATGTCATGTTCTGATCTTGCACACCAGATGGGATCACAATAAGGAAGAGTCCCCAAAGGGCTGGTTCCAACCAGAGGGTCCCCAATCTGACATCCAGGCCCCTAGGAGAGGCCACAGTGTCCCCACTCTGCAGTGACCTCCTGCTCAGCTTTCAGGCCTTGGCTCTTATTTTGCCTCCTCTGCCCCTGCACAGACATGAACCCTCTGTATCCGTTTTCTCCCTGCCCCTTGTAAACACCCCTGCCCACACAGTTATTACCCACTGGACCACAGGCTACAGTTTCCTTGCCTGGCATGCCCATCTTATATGCCCTGCACTTAACATGGTGGCTCAACTAAAGGGAACTGAATGAGCACTGAAAGCTTAGGCCATCATAGCCACGCCCCCTTATTCCAGGGCTGCTCAAGACCAGGCCAAAGTGAAACAGTAAAGCACTGGGCGTGGAAGGGAGACAGCAGGAATTGCAGAGGGTGGAGGAGAGTATCCACATCCTTAGGGCCCCCAGACAGGGGTGCCATCTCTCCCACCACACAGACCTCCAAAGTCTCCCACCGCCTCTGAAGCCAACATAAGGGTCCTTTCCCGGCAAAGCCAATCCTTCTTAGTGTTACCCAGAGCTGCAGGGCCCTGCCCTCAGGATGTAGGAACTCAGCTGTGGGATCACAGCCTTCTAGGCCTGGAAGTTCTGGTTGAGGCCAGTGTGACTTCCCTGCTCTGGGCCCATGGTGGCCTGCTCCCCTGAGCTCTGTCAGGCACCTCCCCACCTTAGGGCCCACATGGGGTGGGCTAGTAAAGCCAAGAGGGGCTGGGGTAGGGAGCAGGACAGGAATAGGCAGGTTGAGTGGGGGCAGGGACCACAGCCAGGCCTGTCAGTCTTCACGGGCAACTCTCTAGTCCGACAGCCCCCATCACCCCTGCAGCCAACTTGAGGGCCCTGGGGTGAGCAACTAGGTGGGATTTCCAGGATCAGGCCATTGGGCCACCCTGCCTGATCTACGAGGGCCAATCCCCGCCACCTGGGGTCCTTTCTTCTCCAGGGTTCTCATGCTCAGTGAGAGGCTGGGTCATAGGGAGTTTCCACCCCATCTGCTCCAGCGAAGACTGCTTCAGGTGGAAAAGGGGCAGGGAGGATAAAGAACTGCCCCCTGTCTCCCCCGTGAAGGCAAAGTCCCAGGGGAAGCTGGGGTAGGCCTTTTTCCATGCCCTGCACGTCCTTGCTTAGCCCTTGTCTAGGCCCCCCGCCTGCCCCCACATGTCTCCTGGGGCCAGCACTACTCAATGTTTAAGGGGTCCTCGGAGACTATGTAGTCCAACTTCCTCCTCCAGACAAGAGCGCTGGGGCCCAGAAAGGGGATAAGGTCTTTTGGCCAAGGTCACACAGCAAGTTAGTGGCAGGAACCTTGTCCCCTGAACCCTGGGCAGACTCTTTGCATTTCCCTCTGAAGTGGTCAGGTGGGGGCTGGGGCACCAGGCCCTAGGAGAAAGGACAGTGGTTCTGTGGAAACAAAGGACCCAGGGAGGTTTGCCTTGGGCTGGCCAAGGACGGGCTGAGGGCGGGGGAGGCATTCAGGGCCTGATTTCCAGGAAGTGCTCAAAGAGAGCCGAAGATGCCGGCACCGCCTCCCCTCTGCCTGGATTGTAGGAGGGTTCTGTTGTGGGGGGTTGGCTGTCACCTCAAAGGCAAGCGGCAGGAGCAGGGCTGGGGGCCTCCCGCCATCCCTTCTACCTCTCCTCTCGGTATGGCCCTGACACCTCCTCTCTCTGCTTCTCCTTCTCTGTGAATTGCCAGAGCCTTGGACAGGCTCCCATGATAGCCTGTGTGTCCGCTCCTCGCCTCCCTGCCAGGCTCCTCCAGGCCTAGGATGTGGCATTAGTCACAGGCTCTGTTGACCCAGCCTCCCTGGCTCCAGGAGCTGGGCATCAGGGTGGTGGCCTTCAGGTCTAAAGAATTACACTCAAGCAGGAGAGGAGGCCTGGGGCTCAGAGCAGACACTAGGGGGGTGGAGAAGTTGGCTCCCTCTGCTAGCCTGGGCCCGGAACCTGAGAAGTGACCCTTGAGGCTCGGGACAGCCCCATCTGCCCTGCCCTGCAGGCCGCACCTGGGTGACCTTCTCGGTGACATTCTGGGTCCGCTCTACCACCTTGTGGGGTGCGATGATCTCAATTTCCGTGGTGGAGCCTGAGCGGTGCTTCTCCAGGTTGAACTCCACAAAGTTGAGCGTGAACTGTGGAATCTGGCTGATGGTCCTGTACTTGACCCTGCCCGCGCCAGGCCCCTGTGCACCCGGCCTGCCATGAGAGCCCTCTGAAACCAGGGCTAAGGTCAGAGCAGCGAGGGCCGGGGACCAGCTGCTCCACCTGGTGCCCCTACTCACCCCTCCCACTGCCTCCTGTACCCCGCCTCACCGGATCCCAAGAAGCTCTGGGACAGCAGGCGCTGGGACAGGCTGCGGCTCCCACTCTTGGCCAGGAGCTGGGCCAGATCCTCGAAGTTGAGGATGAACATGATGACAGCCCCGTCCTCATTCTTCACAGGCACCACGTCCACCAGGCAGCGGAAGCTGGAGGCTGTAAAGATCATTGGTGGGGGGGGTCATTGAAGGGGTCCTTTTCTGCAGGAGCTTGGCCAGGGGGCGCTAGAAAGAGGGCTGAGTTAAGGTCAAATGAAGGGCAGCCATAGGGCGAGGAGGCCTGGACAGCGACCAGAGCTATTGGGCAGAGGGTTGGTGATGCTGCCCAGAAGTTGCCCGACCCACAGGACAGAGGTGGGGAGAGCAGCTAAGCTGCTCATTAGGAGATAATGTAGCATTGGGTCCAAGTCCACGCTTGGCCCTCAGCTCAGGGCTTAACCTTGAGGTTTGCTTCTGCTGTAATTAAAGCTGAGCAGATGGGGGTGGATTAAGTGGGGAGGTGAGGTTGAGCCTTTTACCCTATGAAGCTCTGGCTGGCCCTGGGTTCAGCTCCCATATTCCCATCCCACAAAGCTTCCCTGCTCCCGACACTGAAAAGGCCTCGTCGTTGAGAACACACTAAGTGCTGGGCACTGAGCCAATTGGCACATTAGGCCTCAGTCTACATGGTGGAGCCCAGTGGGTCCTTGGGGGGAGGCAGAGATTCCTGTTCTGCAGATGGGTGCCTGGGGTTCTGAGAAACTGACTTGCTGGGGCTGGGAGGGGACATGGATCAGAGATCCCTGAACTCTTAATATGCAACAGCTTGGAGAGGGGAAGGGTCTTGTCTGGGACGAGTGAAGGCCAGGCGGCTGCTCCAGGCCTGGAAGGGGCACAGGGTCCCAAGGCAGAGGCGCTGGGACTGGGGAACAGGCAGGGTAGTCTGGAGAGGGAGAAAGATGGCAGTGTGGGGGCAGAACTGGCTCCTTCAGCCACTGTCTCCACCCTCTTGAGCAGCCCGGACCCAGTCGTTTGCCTCACTGTTCCTTTTGTTCCACTCCAGGGTCTTGTTCCCGTGCCCATAGGTGGGTAGACACCCCGTGAGCCCCCTCTCCACAGTACACGGTGGTCCCATGTCCCTCAAGTCAAACCACTGGTGAGGGTCAGATCTAAAGAGCAGGACCCTAAGGGGCAGGGGCCTCCAGCAAACATGCAAATTAGAGACAGAGCTGCCCGGGTTTGGGTCTGTCTCATTTGCCAGCGGCCAGCACCTGTCCCAGATGTTGTTTGCTGACGGAGTGAATGGAAGAATGTGTACCTACAAGTGAGAGGGTGGGGGGCCGGCTGGCAGGAGTACGGCTACTTTGGGGTTCACTAGAATAGCTCTTCCCCCAGCTCCCCATTTAGTGCTCACTCCCCTTGGTGCCTCCTCATGGTCATCAGCGCTGGAGTGCTGCTGCGCTGCCCTGTCGTCCCTCCCACGTTCCTCCCTGGGAGCAGGAATCTTCTGGATCAGATTCCCAGACTCCCAGGCACCAGGCAGCCATCTACCAGCTGCTGTGCTGGGCCCCGGGGGAGACATCCACACCGAGGCGAGGCCACCCACCTGCCTCTGTGACTTACTCCTGGGCTCACAGTACTGTAGGCTTGCCTCCCCTGCCAGAGCCTGGCGCTCTTGTCAGCCCAGGACATGGCAAGGCATGGGCACTGGGACCTAGCAAGGAAGCCTCCTTGGACAGCAGCCTGAGACACTGCCCCCAAGGTCAGACTATCTCTTCACTCTCTCTGGCACTGCAGAGATCTGGCCTGGCAGGGGACTGGGTAGGACAGAGCTGGGCAGAGGGGCAGGGCCTCCAGGTTCTCTACGCTGCTGGGAGCTGCCAAGGTCCAGGCTTTGAGTGGCTGTACCCACCCACTAATGCTATCTTTGGAAAACTGAGGCTGGGAATGGGCTGAAGACCAGCCCATCCTAGCCCATCACGAGGGCTGGAGGGGGGTTGTGTGTGGCACCCCATGTCTGACCTTCATGCTTGCTGCCTATGGGACAGGAGGCTACGAGGGCTTGAACAAGGTCAGAGCCTTCCTTTTCCCCATCCCTATGCTGCTGTCCTTGCTCATGAGTAACTAGCTGGGTGATCAGAAGTGGGTGAGTGTGTTGCCCTAGGTTGTGCCCAGGTGTGGGGGTGTTCCTGTGCTCTTGCCCTGTCCCTGGAGGAGGAGCCACAGTCACTGTCTCATACTCCCTTTCAGGGGCTCCCCCCGGCACCCACCTCTCCTGATCAAGGGCAGCAGGTTTATCTGCACCCCACCCCCCACCCCGACACTGCCCTTCTGCTCTTGTCTCTTGGATGTGCTTTCCTCCAGTTTCTCTTCGTTTCTGCACCTTCCTCTGCCCTCTGGCCCTCCCCCCTTCCTTGGCACAGTCTCCCTGTCGTCTATTACCTCCATTTCTTTATGCATATCCCATCCAGGATTGTGGTGAGCCTTTTGGGAGGTGCTACAAAAAGCTGCCACTAAGACAGTGACTGATCCACACCCACTCCCTGCTTGGTGTTTCTGGCGCTCATGGGTGAGTGTGTAGAAAACATTGGGGCCCCTGACCCCAGCCCTTGTCCAGTCCTCCTCATCCAGAGCTAGGGACTGGAGGAGCCCCAGGCTTCCTCAAGTCTGGCTTAGGGATTAGGGGACTCTCGGGTTTCGGGTCATCAGAGGACTTGGCAAAGATGGGCATGGCTGGGCACCTCTGGCAGGTGTCCAGAGGGGACAGGGTAGGGGTGGGGGAGATCTGAGCGCTCTCCATCCTTCTCTCCAGGCTCCCATGGGTTCTATTCTTGTGGCCATCCCATTCCTCCTTATCTGTTAGGCTCTCACTTTTCCTATAAAGGCAGATGGAGGAAAAGCCAGTTTCTTAGGGGTCTTTGGGCCCTGTCTCATGGGCTAATTTTTGCCAAGTGCCTTGGTCTCTTTGAGCCCAACTGTAGGCAGCTGCACAATGCGGAGATATATGGACACAGACCTTCCACTTTGACTTGGAGAGCTATCATTGGATTACTCCTTTAGAGGAAAAGAAAATGATAAATAAACCAGCTAGAGTTCTATACAGAACCCCTTTCCACCTCGCTGGAGTCAGGAGGAGTGGGGCTGAGGCGGTATTGACTGAAGGAGGGAAGAAGTCACCACTAGGATGCCCCTCAGCAGGACTATAAGATGCATGTGAATATGATACATAAAAAAAGGCCATGTGGTCAGAATGGACCATAAAGTGAACGTAAGTTATCTGAGAACCACACCTTTCCTTTAGGGTACTACAGGCCAGAAAGCTCCCTTTTCTGGGGTTTAGGCCAATTTCAGACAGGTCCAGGTGGTCAAAGTCTCAGACTATAGGACCAGAAAGGGCTTGGAGTAGGGGTGGCATAGACTGGAATTTGGGGGCACCAGTTATGTGGGTAATTTTCCATTTTCATCCAGGGCCAGACTCAAAAAACTAGGTTGCTAGAGTCCCTTCTGATAGCTAGAGGACCCCAGTTGGGTTCTAAAGACCTGAGTTCTGATCTCAGAGGGCCAAGGCCTGGCCTTGACCTCTGCCTCTGCCTAGTCACATGTGGGGGGCTCAGGAAACCCTGGGAGCCCTGATCTGACATCTCTAGGAGTCTGGAATCAGGTATAGCTCTGGGGTCAAGGAGAGGGAAAAAAACCCTGTTGTTCCCTCTCATTTCCTGCTGTCCCACCTTGTTGCCCCAGAACCCTGCTCACTCCCCTGACTGTCACCTGCCTGCAGTGATATGAGGAGGTGAGGTCACAGCTTTTAAAAATATTCTGACTTCATTAACCCTGTGAGTGCTGCCAAACTAAGCCAGACTCTTTCTAGACCCCTGATCTCTACCTCTGCTTTTATTTGGGTGGCAGCAGCAGGGGACCACCACAGAGACAGCCAGGACCTACCCAAAAAGCACCCTGGAAGCCCTTAAACGTACACACACACACACACACACCCTCACATGTTCACATTCACACTTACACCCATGCTCCACACACATACCAGGCCTCTGGACTCTAAGCTCTCAGCAACCTTCAGTCCCAGTGCAAAGGTACCTGCCCCCTATTAGTACTCCAATGGCCCTCTTCCCTGGGGAAGCCCTTTTCTGGGGCTTCCTTCTCCAAAAGTCCCGCCTCAGAGCACAGAGGCACGCAGTTGGGCTCCGTTCTCCCCTCTTAGGATTACTCAGAACAGATTTCTCTAGGGAAGAATCCAGAGATGGGTTCCAGCCCCAGGGTAGATGCTCGTAGTAGGATTCTGGGCAAGTCTCTTCTTTTTCTTGAGCCTCGGTTTCCTCATCCATGAAATGAAAGGATTTGTCAGTGTTTCCTGAACTTGGCAGAACATCTGAACCACCAGGGAGATTTTTTTTCAAATGCACCTGCTTGGGCCTCATCTCACACCTGAGTCATCTTCTCTCTAGGAAACATGCCCTAGGGAATTTTGATGCAGAATCAGGTTGGGAGGGAGTGGGGGCTGGCATTGATCCAGGTAATTTCAAAGAGACTTTCAGGATTCTAGTTCCAACCCATTTCCCCCCACCCCTCATCCAGTGGAGACGCAGAGGTTCTGGGGGGAGGGTCTTAAAGGGCTGCAGAAGTCTTTATCATCAGCCCCTGCCCTATGCTTCTGTTCTGCTTGCAGTAAACTTGGGCTGGCAGTGACATTCCAAACTGGGTGAGCCTCCAGGTGAGGCCAAACCCCCGACTCTCTCCCCAAGGAGCCAGGGCTGGGTGAGCCAGGCCCACCTCTCTCCCATTCAGCAGCCCCCAACGCCTCGCCTGGGAGAGGCCTTGAGGGGTGACTCCTCCCCTAATCCCCAGAGCAGGCAGAGATGAGGAAAGGTTAATTTCCATCCCAGCTGCCTGACAGCTGGGGTTGGCAGTGACAGAGTGGACAGCCAGGAGACTGGGGACATGGGGGAGGGATGTGGAGCGGGAGGCCCTGCCCTGGGCTAGGACCAGTCAGCGGCTCAGCCTGGTGTCCAGCCTCTGAAAAGGACCTTAGAAGGCATCACATCCAATGCCCATCATTTCCCTACACCGATGAGGAAATTGAGGCCCACAGAGGAGACGGGATTCACCTAGACCCTTGGTCCCAGTGTCAGTGCCCTCCCCATGACCACTCTGGCAAGACAAGAGAGGGGCTAAGTCTGCCCTACACAACCCGTGGCCCGAGGGCACCTCACCATCCTTGCGGTAGTAGAGGATGTCCACCTTGCACTCCTCAGCCCCAAGCAGGGCCTGCGCCAGGCGGGACATGGCACTGCGTGGGGTGTTAGGGCCTGTGAGGAAGTCACAGGTGCACGGTCGCTGCATCACCTCCACTCGGGAGTAGCCGAAGAGTTCACAGAAGCCATCGTTGCAGTAAATGATGGCGCAGTTCTCCATCTGAGCATTGGCGATCAGGAACTTTCGACCTGGGGTGGAAGGGGGGAGGGTGGCAGCCCATAGCAACCAGGATTCGGTGGCAGGGAGGGAAAGATTATAGGGACTCTTGGCAGCAGTGAGAGGGGAACTAGATGGGAGAGCAGAGCAGTAACCAAATGAGGAAGGGGGGAGGTCAGGTCTAGGGAAGGCCAAGGAGGCCAGAGTCACGGGGGAAAGTTACTGGACTCCTGAGAGTAATAAAGGGATGGTCAGGAGGGGGAGCAGGACAGTGACCAGAGATGTGGGGGAGGAGAAGTCAGCCCGGGGGATTGTGGGAAGACCAGGACAGTAATGGGTCGAAGTGGGAGGGAGGCCTAAGGCTTCTTGGAGACTGTGAAGGGGGAAGAGAGAGCAGGGATGCGACCAGATGGGGGTCTGGCACAGGGAGAGCTCCTAGAAAGACCGGAGTCGTCAGGGCCAGGAGGTGAAAAGGAAGAAGTCAAGAAAACCTCTGGAAGAAGCTTGGGGGGGGTGGGGTGGGGGCGTTAGAGGGGTAGCAGGGCAGTGATAGAAGGCGGGGTCAGGGCTTGGGGCGCCAAGAAAATAACTCAGGGGTGGAGAGAGGGGCTGTGCTCTGCCACTAGTGCTCTAGAAGAGAGGAGGGCAGGCATTTGAGGTAAGTGGGGCCCGCTGGAGGAGAAGGTGTTGGGGACATTAAAGGATTTTGCATTCAGCATTCGGTACCCCCCACCCTGTTCCATTTGAAGTTAGCAAGGGGATCCGACTACTTCTGCCACAGAACCTGGACTCCAGATCGTCCCCATTCCACCCCAACGCACACACTCACTCTGGCCCTCGAACTTGCGGATAATGGTGTCCAGGTAAGTGTTTTGGGGCGCGACGTGGCCCCTGCGGACCGGCATCTTCCGGCCGCGGCCTCTGCCCGGAGCCACCAGCTCCCCAGCTCCCGGCGTCTCCGCCCTTCCTCGGGCTCAGCTGCGTCCGGCTCCGGGTGGGCGCCGCCCCCGGGGAGGGCCGCGGGGCTCCATGCTCCGCCCGCCCGCCTGCGTATACGGTCCTCTGCCCTCGGGCCCTCCCCGCGCCGGCCTCTCGCCGCGCCTCCTTTCTCCGGCGCCGGCCCGGGAGCTGTCCGCACCGCGGTGCTGAAAGAAGTCGCGGGGTGGCGGCGGGGCAGGGTCCGCGGGGCGGGGGCAACTTCTCCCGGACTCGACGGGGCGGAGGCGGGGCCCTGACTCCTAGGGGGCGGAGCTAGACAGTAGCAGCGCGGGGAACCGCTCCGGGCTTCTCTGAGGAGGTTCTGCTCTTGTCCCAGTACACAGTGGGCTTAGACTCTCTCGGACCCTCTCCTGATAACGAGGGGCAGTCCGGACGTTGTCCGGGGCGAGTCTCTCAGGCAGGGGAAGGGGCGGGCAGAAGGGGTCGTTAGAGGACTCAGCCTTTTGCTGAAGATTTCTTTCTGAGTCTAACCGCTGGCCCTAACCCTGGCAATGGTGCGGTTAGACTTCTTGCCTGCCATTGCCAAGTGCCCTCCAGCTGAACCCCAATGCGCATGCAGAACTCCTAGTGGCAAGTTCATCCAGGACCTGGTCCTGGGAGGATGGAGTAGGAGTACACATGAAGGTACAAGAAATATGCAATAAGTTGCTTTCTTTAGAAGCCTGATAGCTCTTAGCATACAGGCTCTCCTTGAGAGGAGTCCTGATATAAAACCACCTATTAGCAAGTGACCACTGATAAAAGTGTCTGAGTACTGATTGAAAATACACAAGCAGCAGCAGATGGGGGCGGGGTGAGGTTTATTGAAAAAGGCTTCTTGGAAAGGCGGGAGAGAAAGGCACCACTGTTCACTAACATCTCGGTGGGCTTGGAGCTTTGCAGAGGGTCTAATGACTAGTTTTGAGCCAGGCCTTGAAGGGCAAGCATTCAAATTGGGCATGTACCTCATTAGGCAAAGACCAATCGTACAATCAGTGCAAAGGGGCTGAGCTGGGAGCTGGGAGCAGTGAGGTTGGAGAAAAGGAAGGTTGATAAAGACCCTCAGAGGCCATTTTGAACATTTAGATTTAATTGATGAACAACCAAGTTCTTAAGCAGTTAGACATGAAGGAAATATTCTGGTGAAATAAACTTTACAATGGTGGGAAGGGAGGGAGGATGGACAAGGAGGCTCGGTGAGGTTTTTGCTGGAGTCCAGGGGCTTGGAGAGGCTTGGATTCCCGGGCTGGGTATGCCTTTGCCACTCAGAGCCACAATGCCTGATGGGGGCTTCTTTGGCCCCTGTGGCTGGGGGATGAGAGAGCTGCAAATGTGGCCTCCTTGAGGGGCAGAGTTGTCCTGATTGCCTGCCCCTGCGTGTGGGGGGGGGAGGGGAAGGCTGGCTGTGGAGAAAAGGTGAGGCTGTTTGTCATGGGCTCAATGTGTGGGGTGCTGAGCTCTGAGGAGGGCCTTGGGCAGTGGGACACTCATTCACTCACTTATTCGCTCATTCAAACAGTTTCCAAGTCCCCACTATATGCCATGGTCTGTACTGGCTATAGGTGTAATGCAGGGGGCACAGTCCTGATGAGTGTCCTGCCCTTATAGAGCTGACAGCTAATAATGGGGACAAATAAGGATGTTACAGCACAGCAATGTAGTGACAGAGGCACCAAACGAGGGTGCTATGAAGCCTGTGGTCGAGCAGAAAGTACGTGGGCTCAGCCAAAACTCAGGAAGACCTCTTGAAACCTGGGCAGAGGTAGAGTCCATGGAGATCTTAGCTTAGTGCCTCTGTCCCCAGAACCCTTGATTTTTGGGCTCAGATCATTAATCTAGAGAGAGCTGGTCCCACCTTTGGACCACCCTCCCACTCGTTCAACTGCAGCCCTGGTGCCTCCTCTCTGGTTACCAGCTGTGATGCTACTTCCCCTTAAGTTTCCCCTAATCTCTGACAGGCACTGATTCTCAGCCTCCCCAGGAGCTCCTGGGGTCTCAGTCCAAACTCAGTTTGTCCCCTGCAGCGAGCAGACTCATGCTGGAAAGAAGGGCTAGAAGGGGCAGGTGCAGAAGCCTACTTCTCTCTTCCTAGGTTTGTCTCTACTCATTTCTCAAATGTCCTCCAAAAGCATCCCCTCCATCTTCCCCTCCGCCACTGAGACTGGAAAGGTGCTATCTGCCCTGTGCTCAGTCCCCAGGGCAACATGCCAGGCAGCAGGTGTGTGTGTTGAACAAGGCCATCTCTGGAGCGGAGTGGCTGGAGATGAGCTTTGTTTAAATATTCAAGAAGTCAATCATTAATCAAGCCTGGATTGGTGCCCAGCTACCCACTGTCTCCATTTGGGTGGGCCTGGACAGGGGCAGGGAGGGCCGTAGGGCAATTTGTGAAGCCACTTGCATCTCAAGAGGCTGACAAGTAGCTTTTGAGGGCTAGATTATGCAGTCCAACACAGGCCAGGCCAGAGGGTCAGCAGAAAGATTTGCCGGCCAGGATACAGAGCTCAAAATTGGGTACCAGTGATCTGTACAGGAATGTCCAGTTCTACTTGAATACATTTTATAAGGGGACTGAAGCAGGGTCCTGTTTCTAAACAGAGCACACATTCCTTGGGTATTGCAGTCCCGGTCCAGCCCCACAGCCAAGTGCCTGAAGAAAACAAGGCTGTGTGAAGAATCAGTTCCGGGCATGAACTGGAATGGAGGCTATTTTGGAGGGACACAGCTATTGGGTCACTAACTCTATGGTTCCTGAGTCCCTAGGGAAAGGAGGTTGGCCTAGTACCCAGTGCATACATGAAATGTATGGAATCAAACAGAGTCAGTCGCCTGTGCCCATGGTGTTGCACACGTGAGTTCACAAACATGCAGTTAGTTACCACTCCTCATGTACCCAGGTCTGCCACAGCTGCACCCAATTGCAGTTGGGCATTATGCATGCAAGCTATCCCCCCCGCTGCTCCAGTCCCCCTCAACCTTCTCTGGCTTGCCCCCCAGTCTCACCAGTTGCACTGGTGTCTAGTCCCAGCTCCACCATTCAGCGCTCATCCACGGAGGCTTCCTGTGGTGCTGTGTGAAAATTCTTATGATCAGGCCGATTGAGCACAGCATCAGGATGAGGCAGAAGCCCAGCAGAATCCACTGTCTTTTGGCAACCTGGCTGGGCTTCATGGCTATGCCCAGGAAGTAGCTGTTGGGTGGTGTCTTGAGACTGGTGTCCTGTGAACTGGTGTCCTGTCTACTGGTGCCCTGTGCACTGGTGTCCTGAGCCAGTGATTGTTTTTCCAGGGAGTACAGCCTGCAGGCCAGCAGTAGAGCCACCAGGAACATGACAAAGCTCAGGGCCAGCAACACCCATTGCCCAAGTTTGGCCTGATCAGGGTCCAGTTTCAGGCTCAGGAACTTCACCTTGTCTGTTTCTTTCTCTGTGGAAGACACAGGAGTCTTGTAGAGCAAATGGAACTGGGAAAGGGAACCTAAGTTGCCCTGTGGCGATCAGAGAGGATCTTACTCCCTCTGGCCTTTTCTCTCAGCCTCAGGCACCTACCTTCCAAGCCACAGGTAAGGGCATTGCCTTGGAAGGAGGGTGAGAAAGAGAAGTAGAAGGAAGAGGAGGAGGAGATGGGCACAGATATGGCTACATACCCCATGGTGCCTATCAGTGGCTCTGGGCAATGATCAGGAGGCAAGATGCCACCCTGTGCTCAGATGTCAGCCTGGAAGTTTGACTGGACAGTGCACAAGGAAGCAACTAGGGCAGGAGCAGAGGCATGTGGCCTTGGCCGAAGCTGCATCAGATGCCGACAGAATCACACGGCTGCAGCGCTGTGCTTGTTCAAACCAGGTCATACATGGACTAGGGGTTAAGGCTGGGTAGGGGCTGACCCAGGTCAGGCTAGGGTAGAGGTTGGGGCTGGATCAGAGCTGGGACCAGGGTCAGATTATCAAACCTTCAAAGGAACAGCTGAAGTCTGGCCAGCCCAGGATCTCCCCCTGGCGCACATTCTCGGTGACCAGCCAGTTCATCAGGGGCTTGAAGTAGGTCTTAAGGGCCTCTGCAGACATCTTGGTCTTCCCGGTTATATTCTGCAGGATCTCTGGCCAGGGTTTGCTGGCACCCTGCTTTAGGACGTCCCTGGGAGAGTGGATACAGCTGTGAGGCTGAGTGGGGGCATCTGCTGGTGCTGCTGGCACCCCCTCCGTATGCCCAACCCTGGCCCTAGGGCTTTGCTAGCCAGGCAATCTTCCCACAGAGGTCAGCACAGTGGATAAAATCACAAATTTGAAAATAAGACCAACCAGGGTTTGAATGCTTATCTGTCATTCAGTAGCTTGTAACTTGGGCAAGTAATTTAACCGTTCTAAGCCTCAGTTTCCATTTCCATAGGAGATAATCATACTACCTATCTCCTGGCATTGTTGGGATCATTAAATAAACACAACGCTGGGAGCATAGTAGGAAGGCAATAAATGTTAGCTGCCCATATGGGACAGAGGAATAAAAATTACTATTATTATTTTTATTACCACTGCTGTGATGATGATTATTCTCCTGGACTCAGACAGGCTTAAAGTCTTGAGACACTGTTTGCCATGCTCTGTGTCAACAGGGAGAGGCAGCTCTTCATCCCTTTCTGGTCTCACAGGGAGTGTTTGGGAGGATTAGAGAGATAATGAGCATGGGATGTGCTCTGTGCACTGACCGCAGTGCTTTACAAATGTCAGATCTGCTTCCAGGCACGCCCAGTGCTTGGTGGCATGGGGTCAAGCCTTGGCCTGCACACTCATGGTGGGGGTACAGAGTGTGCTGAAGCCAGGGTCCTGGGCTCTTCTGTCCCAGGATCCCCGGCGGAGGCAGCAGTTGGCATATGTTCATCCTTCTCAACCTGTTTCCCTGATCTGAGCAGGAGAGAGGCGGGACCTAGAGGCCCAGAATTCAGAGTGGAGCCTAGAGCCGGGGTCGGAAAACTGCGGCTCGCGAGCCACATGCAGCTCTTTGGATACCTTCCATCTCAAAAGTTTGCCAACCCCTGGAAGAGCCAATCCTGTCCCTCACGACAATTTAAAAATTATTCGAGAGCCATAAATGTATTTTTACATAACCACCATTATGTGAATAATATCCTCTAAAATTTTATAAATGAAACTATGATAGTTTTATTTTCATTTTCAATTTTACTTCAGAGCCTGCGGCTTGCGAGCTGCAGTTTGTTGACCCCTGGCAACTCTTCTGTCTCAAAAGTTTGCTGACCCCTGGTCTAAACTAACAGAACTCAGGTTCAAGACCTAGCAGTGCTATTTATGAGCTGCATAACTGCAGGCTACCAACTTAACCTCTCTTAGTCTCAGTTTCTGCATCAATAAAATGGGCCCCATCAACACCTGCCTTTTCATAGTGGTGAGGATTAGGTCACATAATGGTGGCGAAAGAGAGCTTTGTAGTTTGCAAAGACTTATGCACATCACTCAATAAACAACTGGGAAAGAATGAGGTGGAGAAACTAAAGGCAGGTGGATCCTAGGCAGAAGCCACAGGGGAAGAAATGCAGTTAAGATTCAAGAGAAATGGAGGAGAAAAGCCAAGATTAAAAGGAAAAAATAAAAACAAAAAATCCACAACCCACTTTAGGTAAGAGGATTTTATCAGATGCTGGGTCCTGGGGAAAAGAAAGGACCTTGTGGGGGAAATGTTTAGACCATTGAGAATCTGCCTATTTAGAAATAGTCCTTCAGGCAGGGTGGGGCAAGAGGCTTGACTGAATCCCAGCTGACGACACATGTGGGCAGCACATGAGACCTGCAAAAGGTGGCAACTGGGAGCTAGCTAGAGCTCTCAACTCCAAGGTGGCCGGAACGGGCCCCATGGACAAGGTCAGCCCACCATGGCTGGCTGGGTGAGACAGGGGGACTTTGGAAACTTGGACCAAATCCACTTCGACCCTCCATTCCCAGCACAAATAGCCCAGAGGCTGGCTCAGGGCAATTACATTCAGGAAGATGAGGCCAAAGTAGCAAAATCAAGTTTTAAGATCTATCAGGCAAAAGAGCAGCCAGGAATCTTGCCCTAGCCCTTCTTCCATGCAAGCATTCCCCTCCTCCTCCCTTCTACAACCCATACTCCACGCTGCTCCCCAAAGCTCGTAACAGCCCCCTTTCTCAGAGACCCCTCCTCTGTCCTCTGCCCAGAAAACAGCATTCAAAGTCCTCCATTTGGAACTCAGGGTCTTCCCTGAGCAGGGGTCTGGGCAATGATGCGTGAGGCCTGATGAACAGTGACCAGAAATGAGTGGCAAGGCCTTTACATGCTCTAGTGCCAAGTCAGACCCTGGGAGCCTTGTGTGCCCTGGGTGAAGTGGGGGAGGGGAGTGGTGAGAATGACTGAGTCAAATGTCCCACCGTTCAAGTGTAGTGAAGGCTCAGAGCTAAAAGTTCGTTGATGTATAGAAACAAATGTCTGTTATTTCTTGCACGCTTGCATTTGGGGACAGAGATCCCTCCGTTGTACCCCAGCATGACCTCCTTGCCCTCTCTGCATGTTCACTAAAGCCCTTTCCTACGGCACCAGCTCCTTTCTTGTATTATAGTTATTGATTTACCCTGTGGCCTATTGCCCCCTGCTGGATGCAGGGCAGGCTGGTCGGCCTATGCACAAGTAAATGTTTGCTGAATGAATAAATGATGGGCCGTCAGACATGAATTCAGAGAGCAGAGAGCCCCGTTATGTTCCATGCATTCAGAAAAGCTCCTACCTGGGCAGTCGACTAGAATGAACTCCTGTGGTGTGAAAAGATGGAAAAACAAATAGATTAGGGAGACAATAGGGCTGGCGAGTTGCAGCCCTCCCTGGGAGCACAGCCAGAGGATCGGCCCTGCAGCTCCATCTGGCCTGGTGGTTACTGACAAACTGCATGATGAGATAAAAAATATGCTCATTACATTTGCAAAGGATACTAAATGGTGTGGCTTTGTTAATCCTCTGGGAGACAGGAATAAAACTCAAGATGACCTTGACCAATTAGGAAAATGGATCTATTGAAATCATTTGAAATTCAGTGGGGAAAAGACCACGTCAGTGGTTGGCATGCTGCTCTTAGAATCAGTAGACTCAAGCCTAACCTCACCAGACCTGTATCTTTTGGCTGATGGAAGCACCCAGGTGAAAGATGCTGTGTTTTAGAGTCATTTTGGGGCTCAATGCATGACGTTGCCACTTGCTGGATGACTGACATGCAATCACATTACCTCTCTCAGCGTCAGTTTCATCATTTGTGAAATGTGGATCATATATCCACTTTGCAAAGCTATGAGCTACTAACATGAAAACCTGTAAGAGCACTCATTAGGGAGCCCAACCTAGAGTAGTAAAAGCTTCCCACTATCAGGTCAGCTTCCTGCCCCTCACCCCACCCCTCTAGGTTTGCTTCAGGACCAAACACCAACTCCACAGAGGCAGGAATGAAAAGGATGGCTTAGCTACCAAGCGCAAGAAAAAAGATTGGGGCAGGCAGTCAAAGTGGACCACAAGCTGACCAGAACATGCCAAGAGGTTGGTGTGAAAGCAACCTGGATCAGCCTGGGAACTGGATCCAGGCACCTCCAAGAACAGGTGGAGAAGGCAGAGTGTACCCAAAGGTGCATCAAATGATGCTTAGAGGCTAGGCAAGCACTTTGCAAGGAAAGGATAAGGGGATTCAGATGGAAGACAGGACGACGCAGGACTCCCACCCTGCCTTCCCATTCGGGACAGTTTGACTTATTGGCATGTGTGTGTGTG